GGGGGGGGATGAGGGGTGATGGGAGATCGGAGGGGTTGAAGTTGAGGGAGATAGGGAGTGATGGGGGGAGAGGTAAGAGTAGTGTAGGGAGAGGGGGGTTGAGGGAGAGAGGGGGGTTGAGGGAGAGAGGGGGATTGAGGGAGAGAGGGGTGTTGGCTGAGAGGGAGGGGGTGGAGAGGATGGATGTATAGGAGAGAGGGTTCCTTCTCACCTGTGTATTTACCTGAGTACAGACCACCAACAAGAGCTCCCCATGAACTTCTGTCCTGTGTTTTAGTCTCCAACTCTGTTCAGCTGTATCCCATCTCCTCAAAGTCCTAATGTAAGTCCCTACTCCAAATAGTTGTTAGCCTTCCTCACCTTTTCTTTCTTTGTGGATTCTTTCTTAAGCTTTGGAGGGTACTCTTTGTTTTCAGATTTTGAAAGGTGTGTGTGTCCACTTCCATTTTCCTTTTCTAATTTATTTAATATCTATTGTCTATTGATATGTTTTCTAAATAGTGTTCATTATATGTGGTATCAGGCAAACGAATTTTTAAACATGTTCCTCTTAAGCAACTGTTATTTATCTACCTGGAGTGTAGCAGTTAGGTCATTCTCTGTCGCACGTAAGAGACCCAAGTTCGATTCCCAAGTGGGAGAACATTTTTTTAATCAGATATCTTGGTCTTTCTGCTGAGATGTTCTATCCCTCTAAACCTGTCTTGGCTTGACAGGCAGGGTCGGAATCCCGCCTCCTTAATGATCTAAATTGTGTTGATGGGGGTGTAAAAACACTTATTATATAAAAAAGCTACCTTATTTAATCCCGGAAATGCGTCTTTCCCCATATCCACGACAATGCGCATGTTCTGTGACGTGGAGCACGTCCCTGTCATGGTGATATCTCCCACGCCACGCCTAGACATCACGTGATCTGGCACGTGACGCTTGTTCCCGCACGTGACCTCCTCGGGGTGGTTCCCCCAATCAGGTGGCAGTAAGTAATGGCCGATGTAGTTGACAGCAAACGCCATGGTGCCTGGAAGGGAAGATCGCAGTATAAAATTATCTGTTTCTTGTCACGGTGAAATCAGGCGCTTGTACTGTCAATTTTTGGGTATACGGAGTTATTGGTATCATAATCAATCTTGATAATTGTGAGGCAGCGTGGTGGAATCAGGCTCTCGTCAATTTTTGGGCATGTAGAGTTACTGGTATCATCGTAAAGATTGTTCACTTGTCTTTATAAGGATGAATAAATCATCCATTTATCTTAATCACAAGTTGAGATATTTGCAAAAAAAGGAGTTGGGGGCCACATG